TGAAAAACTATTCAATCTCCCTACAAACAGAGAAGGAAATTGGACTATACCCTTTTCATCTAGATTTGAAAATTTTGAAAACTTTAAAATTTTTAACACGGGGGATGGTCGACAGTTAGTAATTTTTCATGCTACGAACATGTGCAAGATTTGGTGGAACTTACCGGTTTGTGCGTGAATAGCTAGATTTCTTTTGTCCTATATTTCCCTCTTTCATCATTCTTGCGGCCTTCCAGATTCCCTGCCCCGTTCTTTGGCCTCAGTAATTTGTTCTCTCTTTATTATCATGTTTTCTTTTGTGCCCGCGCGAGTGTGTGTGTGTGTGTGTGTTTTTTTTTTTTATAAAAGTTGTGTGGTTCAATATGAAGCCTAGTCATGTCTATGTGAGTAATTGAACAAAAACATTCACAAGGTACCTCACCTAGGTTCACACGTGTTGGTGTTAGCCTGCATTCTTTCTGCAGATTGTAAAATTCGTGTGTTCCATTATGTGCCATAAACTTAATTGTCTTTATTGCTGATTATGGTTACATTTTCTGGTTATTCTGATTGAAAAATTCACTACCGAAACATGGAATTATCAGAATATTGTCAAAGTTCCCCTAGTTGAGTTTCGTTTCTCTGTGGTTCCCTTTGCTGATTCATTGGTATGCATATTGCATCTAGCCTTATAGTCTCATGGTTATCTTTTAGGTAATTCTATATTTGAATTGAAAAAAAATGGGAGGTGGAAAGGACAAGCACGATGAACAAGACAAAGGGCTTTTCTCTCATCATGGCCACTATCCTCCTGGACAGTACCCCCCGGCACAGTATCCCCCAGGACAGTATCCACCAGCTGGAGGCTACCCTCCGCAAGGGTATCCACCAGCTGGATATCCTCCACAGGGGTATCCTCCATCTGGATATCCCCCACAGGGGTATCCTCCATCTGGATATCCCCCACAGGGATATCCCCCCGGTCCATCGGGACATCACTCGGGTACTGTTGCTAATGTTGAATACGTTTGATTTTATTTATTTATTTATTTATTTTGTATGCTAATATATAGAAAATTAGCTTAGACAACACTTACACGTTAAGGAAAGTTTATCGAATGAGGCAGTTCCTTGCTTTAATTTTGTAGTGTATGAAACTGGTGTGTCTGTTGGTACAACGAAGTTGCCTGGCTTACCAGGCTTTTAGATTATTTTTTTCTGCTATTCTTTTATCTACCCTTGTGCTCAACCTCAAAAGTTTCTAAAGATGAATTCTTTTCCCTTTTTCTTTTGTTTTGAAAAATTTTCACTAGATAGATAGTTCTTTGAAATGAAAGATATGGATATGCCATTTTGATCTCTGCTTCTGATAATATGGATGAATTTGAAAAATTTGACGCTGGAAAAATGTATTATGATGTCTATCTTTGACTTATTTTAACATCCATTTTTGTTTGAGAGTCAGTAATTAGTTTTTGGGTATATATATTAGCCTTGGCATGCGGGAGGCATCATTTCTTTTGTATGAATGATTCTTGGCATCTAGTGTCACAAAAGCGTAAACTTACATGAAACAGAGGTCGGGTACAATTGACTGGCTTGTGTGATATCCTCCGTATTATGATCATTTTATGGTTAATATCAGTTGTGTATCCTTCTTGATCCTACTAAAGGAGAGTATTTCTTCTTGTGAAAGAGTCCTTGACTCGACGCTGATGCTTTTTCATGACTTTCAGGTCATGGACCTGGTGTAGGAGCAATGCTGGCTGGGGGTGCTGCAGCTGCAGCAGCAGCCCTTGGTGCCAGTCACATGGGCCATGGTGGCGGCCACTATGCTCACGGTGCTGGCCACTATGGCCACGGCCACGGAGTCGGTCATTATGGTCATGGCAAGTTTAAGCACGGCAAGCATGGAAAATTCAAGCACGGAAAATTTGGCAAGCATGGCAAGCATAAGGGACACGGAATGTTCGGAGGGAAATTCAAGAAGTGGAAGTGATCCATTTTACAAAATGTCTAACAATATGTTTCTTAGTTGCTGGCTTTTATAAATAAAATCTGAGACATGGTAAAGCAGCCAACAGGTCTGCTATTCTTATTTTCTTTACTTTTTGAATGGGTATATGTTATGGTAGATGAAGCCTTTATCGGCTGGCTGATATTGTGTTGTTAGTCCTGACATGTGGTCGGGTATCAAGATCCTGCTTTCATAGGAGAAAATGTTGAATTCACAATGTTATGTTAGGAATTCGAGGATTAGTTTTTGTTGTCATTGATATGCAAAACCACTCTAGAGAATTCATTCTCTTGTGTTGAATGAGTAAAGATTGTTACTCATATAATAGTATGTTTTGTCAATAGAGTAAAGATTGTTCTTAGAATTGATCTTCCGTCTACAGTGGGTAGGATAAAAATTTCCCGCCAATGAGGTAGCAGAGACAATAGTAAGTATGCTTCTCTGAATGTATGACTGTTACGGAGAATCATAAGTAAGGTTCTCTTGTCACGTTAACAATAGAAAGTTTTAATTTTACCCACTATAAACAAGAGATCATATCTGAGATTGTTTTTAGATAGAATGGATAAGATTAATTAGAATCAACCGTTGTAAACGATGCAAATTGATTCTTAAAAAATTNGGTGGTCGCAAATGGTTGTAGTATAGGCGATGGCGATAGCACCATGGTGTTGGTGGCGACAGTTACCAAGAGTGTTTGTGACCAATAAATTGGGTAATTTGTGATCAATATATAATATGTGATTTAAAAAATATGATTGTGACTTATAAAATTTGTGATTTGTAACTGAAAAAAGAATTGTAACCCATAAATATTTTGATTTTGTGATTGATAAATAAATTGTGACCTATAAAAATTTTTGATTTCTGATCGAGAAATAATTTGTGACCTATAAAATATCAAAATTTTGAATTGTGGTCAAGAAAAATTATAATCAATTAATATGAGAATTTGTGACCAAATTATGTAGAATTGTGACTTTAATATATTTAATTAATAAAATATGTATTTAATTAATTATTTCATAAAAAATTTAATTATATCTGATTTTTGAAGTTTTAAACATAGTTTCTTAATTTTGAAATGAGTCATAAATTTTTAAATATGAAATTTTCCCTTTTAAAAATAGGGACGTCAGCCATATGCCAGGGCTGGGCTTGTCTTTTGAAGAGCCGAAATGAACCAACCCATTCCACCCCTATATTTGATGGGTTAATCTGCTTGGACAGGGGCCTGTCCGCGTAGCACAACCCATATTTGATATCCACGTGTAGACACGTGTCAAGGAACGGGCCCACACGTAGTATACGCGTCTAAGTGTCTGCTTTATATCCATGCAATAAATATGTACATATCCACTTTTCCTGCATTCATTCGTTTTAGCGCGCATTTTGGAGAGCTTTTCAAGGTGACCCAATTCCTTCTTTTTCTATTTCACACACTGTTGATTTGATCTTTCTTTGTAAAATATTAACTGGATCTGGTTTTTCCACTAGTTTTATAGCTGTGAGTCGATGTATATGCTAACGATCATGCGTTTCATGGTCAATCTTGATTATTTTTATTTAGCTTTTTTTTGGTAGGAATTCGATCGAAACATGCGAATTTTTGTTTTTCTTAGTTGTGGAAAAGTAGTGTGTCGATTTGCGTGTGTATAGGGTTATCGATCACGTGATCCTTTTATGATAAATGAGAATCCTTCAAGGTGCAATTAATATTTCTGTTTATTTAGAGACGGTGGCCCTTTTAGGGATTTGAGTAATTTCTTGTTATTTGAGTACGTTTAGGGTTTCACAATTCTTATTTTTCTTGGGATTGGATTAGGAAGAATGATTGATGGAAAGTTTTGTATGTGAAGGCTGTTATTTATTACATACCTTTTTTAATGAAAGATCGCCCGTAGAAGTGTTTGGACTTTTCAACTAAATTTATGCTGAATGAATGACGGATGGTTATATGTTTGTTGAATCCATTATCAGTTAATGTTAAATGTTAAATGGTCTTGTAACACAAAATCAAAGGGAACATTATTATGAAAAACTATTCAATCTCCCTACAAACAGAGAAGGAAATTGGACTATACCCTTTTCATCTAGATTTGAAAATTTTGAAAACT